ACCTTCCCGGTAGAAAGGACTGAATGCGAGACGTACATCAAAACCAAAATGGGAGAGATAACGCATCTGCTCAACTCTCTGCAAAATGCGGTTAAACTTCAAGACACACAAGTGAACGCCGCGATCGAATACATTGGAGCACGAAATGAAGAAAAAGAGAGAGACAAGCTTATGAAAGAACTCAGCAAACACTTGGAGTTGGAATCTCTTCATTTGGAAGTCAAGGTCGTGCAGTGGCAGAACAAAGTTCAGTTCCGTCAAAACGAATTGAAGGATCAAGCTGCATTATTGCTCACCAGTGTGCCAAGCACATCAAGTCATGCAGCCAGCGACGAAGGCCAGACCTGGAACAGCAGCCTCCCACAGCGCAACGAAAGGCAAATAAAAATCCGGAAGCCTCTGCTAGAAATCCCTACCTTCTCAGGGAGCTTCAGAGAGTTCAACAGCTTCTGGACAGTGTTTGAATCTCTCATCCACGCCGACGAAGACCTATCCGACAATGACAAGTTCCTCTTTCTGAAGCAAGCACTAAAGGGGAAAGCAGCAGCCACCTTGAGCTGCATACCCGTCATCGGAGAAAGATATCAGACAGCGATAGATATCTTGAAGAAACATTTCGATCGCTCTGCCAACATGGCAGATATACTTATAAACGAGATCGAAAAACTACCCAGGGCCTCAGATGATCCGAGAAGTTGCCGAAACACTTTCGAAGCAATCAACTCAAGGATCATTCACCTGGAGCAAACGGGAGCAAAGATGAACGCAGACAGACTTTGGCGTCGAATAATCTTTTCTAAATTTCCCGAATCCATCTGTACGACCGCCATCCAGAAAGAAGCGGTACAAGATGATCCATTTGATGTTAGCGAAATCCTGAACACCATCGACAGCATCATTTCACTGCGAGAGACAATCTTGCTAACATCGGAAACTCTCTTTCCAACCAACTACTACCACAACCAAGAAGATGAAAAGACTACCAGATGCGATAGAGAAAAACACTTTTCGAAATCAAAACACTTGTGTTTATGTGGACAACCACATTCTCCTCACACCTGTCAGAGGTACACCACGCCAAAAGCTCGACGACTTGAAGCAGCAAATCAAGGAGTGTGTTGGAGATGTTTTGCAAGCGATCACAACTCTAACGCTTGCACGAATTTTGGCGTGTGCCCCAAATGCAAAGGATCACACCATGGATCTCTTTGTTTGTCAGAAGCAGGAAAACGCAGAGAATTCTCGACACAATACCGAGATCCTGCACTTGATCAACATTCACCTGCTCCTTGGTCATCCCGTGACATCAGTCAGGATCGTCATGAGAAGAGTACTACGCACGTCGTACAAGGCTCACGACAAAAAGTCTACAATCCCGAAGTGCTTCCACTTGCACAGGATCAATGCATTCTTCAAATTGTTTCGGCAACCATATTCAACGAGGCAGAGTGGGATTACCAGCCAGTAACGATACTACTTGACTCCGGTGCACAACGAAGTTTCATCAAATCAGGACTTTGTGAAGAACTCAAGCTTCCAGTCCTTCGTACTACTTCGTTTACTACATCTGGGATGGGCGAGCAACAAGAGCAATTCAACTCATCTGAAGTACAAATCACCTTGAAAAGTCTTCACAGCTCCGAAAAGTTCAAGAACTTGTCAGTACACACTAAGCAGAAGCTGACTACCGACACGCAGACAGCAAGTCTCACGGAAGCAGACTTGCGTTTTATCTCTGATGAAAAGCTGATAATCGCTCAAGATACGCTCTCCTGCAAAAGCGTTTCACCCGACATGATCATAGGACAAGATCTCCTAAATCTCGTTACTATCCACAACGACAGAGTGCGCAAGCTTCCTTCAGGGCTCATTCTGACCCCAACCATCTTCGGATTCGTTATATCAGGGACGAGCTGCACTACCACCACATCAAGATTCATCGGCACATTCGGCTGCATATCAGCGTTAAAGAAAACACTGAGGAACAACCGCCCAACTCCACAACACAACGAGAGATTGAAGAAACCCAAAGCGTACTCTCATTTCAACAGTGCGAACACTCGAACATGCAACAAGCCATCATTGCCAAAGCAAAATGAAGGAACAATCCAAAGGAGAACGATTCCGTCACGAGCGATGCTACAACCATGTTCTTCATCCAAAAGCCGACAATTCACCTTTACAAGGTCAACAGTCAATGCTTCCATCCTCGCTGAAGCTCGAGCAGACAGACAACGTTGGTTGGCCACAATACGTTCCACGACGAACTCCAATGTCCGTCCATATGGGATAGAATGGCTACCGCAGCGGTTCACAAACAATGAAGCCAAGATAAGGATGACGAACACACCGGAGAGAAGACATCATGAGTACATACATCGTGTAAGAACGCCGTCTATCAAGGATATGGTCGTCAACGAAGCAACTACCGATTCAAAGTGGAAGAGGAGGAAATGGCGAGGAAGACAAGCAGCGCCAAACCGCCCACCAGCTCCAGCGATCACTTCAGATGCTTTTATAAATTTACGTTAATAATTGTACTCTTGTGCGTATGTTCAAGTTACTTGCAAATCCTCCTTCATAGCTCATTTTTCTGTATGCGTAGGTATTAACTTATTCGCTAGTCAACTTCACATGTATCTGCCACTCTAATTAGGATCTTACCAGATCTCACTTTCCTCTCGCTCGCCCGGAGTGTTAATGATTTCTGTATCATCAACCATTGATGAACTCTATATTCTAGATAGCCTACGGAATACCCGTAGGCTAAATTGTGAGCTACTCACTCTTGAGTATCTAATCACTCAAGAGTGAGTGGTACCCGTGCGCCAGGAGTGTAGCCAATCGGCGGCACCTCCTTTCGAGCACCAACTCGTGTACATTGTACCTTTTACTCGGTTCAGCTCCGCCTTCCTTCCTATATAAGGAGCCTCCAAATGTATTAGACGTTGCTCCCCGGTCCACACCGGGACACCTCACTCTTCTTCACGACTAATCTACGCCCGTGCGAATAAATCTATATTCCACAACCTCGTCTACTCCAAATCACTTGGTACCCACCAAATCAAGTTAGTAGCAGCTTACAATGTCACAATTTTTCTTCTTGAAAACATTGAGGAATCCAAATGAGTTTCTTGAAAAACTCTCTACGCAAAGCTTGATTCTGGCTATTCATTTTGCAATGCTTTTTGAAGTTAATTTTATAGCAGCGCACCGCTGCTTCAACAACCGATGTCATCAGATTCTAAGTATGATAGAGTTTGATCACGTACTTTACTTACTCCGAGGTTTCTGTCATCCATCGTTCACTTCTTCCATTCTTTACTCGCTTAGCCCCGTATCGTATTTCTAGTAGTTTCTGTTTGCTCGAACAAGACTGTTAGAATGTTTGGTGAAGGTGGGATCCTCCCAAAAATTGACTCTTTCTGATTCTTTGAAATCTTACGTCCCTTTCAAGTTGTAGCATGGTAGGAAAACATAACACGCAGGAAAAAGGTAAAGCATACGAAAGTAGGGAGAGAATGTCTACTCTTGGTGATGAAGGAAATAACTAACAAGGGAGGGACAGGAAGTAGAAGTGGTTAGTCACCTTAATGCGCACCTATTATGAGAGCTTGGAACGCTGATTCGCCATTTGCTTTCGCTTTCTGTAGGGCTCTTCTGTGAACGAAGTTATGAGCAATTTTTGAACAAAGCTGAACAAATGAATAGATCAAAATCAGCCTTTTAGACGTCGATAGGGCAAAGTCAGGTACTAACTCAGATAATCGCCGGGGGCAGGCGGCCATGCAATTTATGGGCAGGCGGGCACCGGAAAAATAGTTCGCTGATTTCTTGCGGTCCGCTTGCAGGTATTTGGAAGAATTTTAGCGAAATTTTAGACGAATGCTTTGAGAAAAATCGCGGTTTACTTATAGATTAGCTGCGGCGCAGTGGCCGCATTCTCGCGGACTTTCCGCGAGAATATGCAAGATTTTCGGGGGCCGCACGGTCCTTTGTGGAGGGCCGCGCAGTCCCCAGGTACTTTCCGCTGAAAGAAAGTACCTCAAACTTGAGTAATTAAACCATCGATGACACCTCTGCCATGTAGAGTCTCACCTTTGCTCGACGTATGCCCGAAACTGCTTAAAAACCGTCCGAGCGCCAGCTGAAAACTTGATCAGCGCTCGCTGAAAAAGATTGTTTGACGAGCGTCTGCAGAAAATTCTGTGTTGCTGCCCGCTGGCAGAACATTAAACAGTAAAGGAAGTACCGCTCGCTGAAGGTTTGGCCACGCCCCAAAATTCTGCTGACCGCTTGCAGAAAAGCGCGAGTTTGCGGACCGCCTGCCCCCGGTGATTGTCTGAGAATGTACTGTGCTGAAGTGCTAGGCAGAATCATCCTGGTACTTTCCGATGCTTCATTAAGATCTGTAAACTGAACTGTAATGATTGAGTTTGGAATTTCATGTCAAAAGCTACATGCAGCTAAACACGCAGACTTGACCATGTTGTATGCTATATTATATGCTGAATTTGAACTACGCAGATTATTCGTTCTCTCACCAAGTTTCACACAGTGGATGCTACATGCAGTTTCCTAATTGACCGCATCAGCCAAATTAGTTTGCCTCTTATTCCACCATCTCTCATCATACTAAAATAGATTTACCTTTTCATCCGCCATCAAACTTACGAACATTTGGAAGCCTTTTGGAGGTCCTCTATAAGGAGCTCATTTGCAAAATTCTCAAGCGTGCCTGTTTGGACCCATCAACCACAACACTTACTCAAATTAATTGTTTTCAATGATCGTGCCCAGCTGCGGCAGCCCATAAAAAATACACTTTCACTATTTTCATGAAGTTCTCATCAAAACCAATCTTGTCTGTTCTTCTATCTCTCTTTCACAGGGTCCTTGAGCGTATGACGTACTCATTGAATTCTTTCTTTTCTTTTAATGTCAACAATGCTTTCATGAATATTCATATTTTCACACCAACGAAAATCCCTCTCTCAGACATGAGACCAAACGCTACAGGAGAATGGACAGAGATTGAGTGTGACTGGTTCGACCAAATAAAATCTATGCAGGTAATTTAAACTTGATTCCTTATGAAAGTTTGGTGCGCTATATAGATCGACACTATGAAAAGCTGTTCGAAAAAGTCTACAAAACAAGAGAGTGATGCGCTTGACAGTAAGACACAACAGGACAGGGAAAGGACAGGGATGCTGTGAGCTACCAAGTCCCCGCGCGTCACAGCGTACTGTCAAATGGAAAGGCCCCAATAAGGCATGCCCAAGGTGGTGTAATTACAGGAGTCGGGGAAGTCGTCGACGAATATCCTTTATCTGTATGTACATACAGGGTGTCCGTAAAGTATGTATACACTGTTTGATCGTCAATATCTCTTCTCCCAAAAAGTCTTTTGCCTTGCTTCAGGTACCATTTTGTAGAGCTGGCTTCAACTTAGATCTACAGTATAGAACGAATCGTCCATCTCTCTTCATTGCTGTAGGATTACGGTAGAAAATTGAAAGAGGGTTTTGGACAATGAGGCCATATTTTGCCTCAGAAAGGAGACAAAACAGCCTAAAAACTTCTACACTAGGCTAATTAGAGTTGCTGATTCTAATTGTAAAGTTCCTAACTTATTATTATGCTTCATTGAAGAGTTATGCCAGGTAAGAGGTAGCGGCCATTTTTTCAATGTTCCTAAAAAATGCGGTTGCACCGTTTAGAAAGCTTCGTAATCTTGTGAATAGTTGAGTATTGAACTCAGCGTCCATAAAAACCCTATTACACAAGTTTTCACATTTTTTTTTTGAAAAAATTCGAAACGACAGCTTTTTCCACACTGACACCATATGTTTCAAGTTTCTACCGTAATCCTACAGTAATGAAGAGTGATGGACGATTCGCTCTACACTGCAAATCTAAGCTGAAGCCAGCTCTACAAAATGGTACCTGAAGCAAGGCAAAAGACTTCTTGGGAAAGGAGATATTAATGATCAAACAGTGTATACATACTTTACGGACACCCTGTACAACTTAACTCTACGTTTGTAATTTAATAACTTGATAACTGTGCACTATGCGAGGCAACCAACGACACCCATACTATTTCCTCTCCTTGTATAACCTTTTTTAGCATAACAAAATGCGGAAAGGGGTGAGGGAACTTACCTACTTAAAGACATTGCCGCAACTTATTATAGAGGTCATGAACTGCTAGCAACGCTAATCAGCATCCAATTTGCAACGTAAAGGAGCAGATTTTTGCACACAAAGTAGCCTGCCCTCATTATGTGATACATGAAACCGAGATTTTATTGAAATTTCGAACCCAAAGTTCGGTAGTGACTTACGTAGTCCGATTGAGGTGAAAATTGATCTTTAGGGATTTTCCTCAGTGGTGTTCCCGAATACGCTATTGCTTTTCTAAAATAAAACTAAAATATAAACTAAAATATAAATTTGTGTTCTAGGAGTTAAATCAAAATCAGAAATTTGGTCTAGAATTCATTTGTTAATTTTGAGTTCAAAAGATGGAACGTAATATTTTGGTTGGGTTTGGAATCATTAATTTAATTATTCTAGCAGACGTTTTTCCGCTTGTTCTCACCATTTTAGTTTTGCCTCAAACTCTAAGAAAAGTTCATGTTTCAAAAGAGGAAGAAAAAAAGCAAAGTTTGTGAGCAAAACACCCAGTATACTTGAAAACATGACCAAAACTCCTGAATAGTGTCTTTCCAAATTTGCAGTGTAATTTATGAATCACTTAAAATTAAATTGTGATATTTCAAGCAGGATCACTAGCATATTCGGAAACACTATAGAAATTCTCACAACAATTTTCATCCCAATTGGACGAAAATCCCATATGGACTTTGAGTTCAAGATTTCAAAAACCATGGTTCCACGTTTCATGCACTGCAGGATGAGGTGATCAGTTGCAGATATCAGCTCTGTTAGGGTACAGATCGGGTGTCAATAACGTTGCTGACAGTTCATGACCTTTTAGCTACGTTGCAACTAGTATTTGTTGAATGAATACTATCTCGCAATGAATACTATCTGATGACTATTTTAATTTTACTATTTATTTTACTATTTTACTATTTCTCTATCTTGCATGTGCATGGCCTGGGCACTCAAATTAGCCTCATGATTTGAGCTCGCCGGGGGTGGGGGACATTAGGTCGCCGAAAAAGGGCGGTCCCCGCGGTCATTTGCGACAAATACGCACCCCTGTACATGCGCGGACATGCGTTCCTGAAGGGAATCCGCGCGGGACTCTTCCAAATCCGGCGACCTAATGTCCTCCACCCGCTCACCGGCAAGATTTTCACGCTGCAAATGCATGTACCATCAGGAAAGGAGTTGCTTTTTACGCGATTACTTTGCGAGGAAGGAACTGCTATGCTCAAAAGTCACAAAAGTTTTGAACTTTTTAGTTTTTTTTTGTTTTTTTTTGGCGTTGATTCATGAAGAATCACCTAGTAGTCAAGCCGTTGAATGTCCTTAGAATAATTATCTTACTGGATCAAGCGAGCAAAATCTTTAGGCGTTTCATTGCACGCACAGACCGCCGCCATTGCTTTAGATTGAGACAGTTCGTGCATGGGGGAAACAGCAGACGGCAAGAGGAATGAAAAAGCGCTTAATCGGCGAGACGCAACATCCGTAATGATTTTGTACTGTCTCTGCATGCGAATCGTCCATACTACTATGAGAATTTTTCACATCTGAGTGGTGCACATGCAATGTATGCATTGTACTACTGCCAATAAAATCAGCGAAACTTCGTCTTACAAGGCGTCCTTATATATCAAGTAAAACGGAGTAGTTTCTAAGACCTAGACCGATAACAGATGTAGGAGCAATTAGTTCCGGCGGAAGTACGTGAGGCGAGTAATCGACTACTAAATTGCTTAGCGAGTCAATGCTTATGTTACTTGATTTTTCGTGATATAAGTGGCTTCTAGTGCGGGACTCATAGTAGCAATTCAGAACACTCGATAACGAAATCTTTTTTATTGCAACATTAGTAGGACTCAGAGAAGGGTTTTCGAAGACTTGATTTTACAGAATAACATGTTCTGGAAGAAGCTCGAAGGCTCCCCAATTGTTTATCTTTATGGCATCATTTGCACATTTGGAGCTCTGGCAAACTTAGTGGTCTTATTTGCCTTCGTTCGGACGTCGAATTTGAGGAATCTCAGGAACAGGTACAAACAGCTTTATTTATTGTTCCAAATAGATACTCTAATTTGCTGTCGGTCGCTTGGCAACCATTGAAATTGAGCCAAGAAAGGAGTTTACGATAGAGATATAACATCTGTTACCGTAGGAAACACAGATATGTCCAATTTTGCTCTTACAACGTCTTTATGGCTTCTCTGGGCACTCTTAAGTCAAGAAACATATCGTAAATTTGGAACCCGATAATGATTTCTGAGGTTTCTTCCTTTGTACTACGAGAGCGAATGCGACATGCTCAGCAATATAAAGGCTACTGCATGACGAAGGCGCAGAAGCATTATCATTTGAGCGAGCGCGAACGCGACGCGCGCGTATCCTCACCGTTGTAAACTCTGCGCCCAATATCGTCGTGCGCGGTGCGTGGCATTAGGTACCCAGCCGAGGTGAGAGCGTTAGGTACCCAGTAATTAGTGGTATACACTAAGCCACGCCCCTTGGTTGCTCTAACAGCAGGTACCTAACGGTACAACCGAATCCTAGCTGCTAAAACAGTTCACCTAACTCGCTGGAGTGCTGGCGCTTGCGATCCACAGAAGATAGCTCGAGGAAATAAAAAAATTGCTCGAATGAAAGCGCAAGCTTGCACACAGCGTTTTTTCCATTGCTTCTTTCTCTTATCAATTCTAGAATCACAGAAAATCGGTGAGAGAGAGTTAAAAAGGGGTAAAGCTATGAACATCTCACAGTTATGCAAAAAGAAATTTAGTGCAACCGATTGGAAAAATAGCTTCGACTAGCACTTGTCATCAGAAATCGAAACTTTATGGAGGACTATCTGACCCATTAAGTTATGGGAAGGGCACTAGCTCGGTTCCAAAACAAAAATATTGCATTATAGAGCTATGAGTGTTGATTTCGGAAGAGGATGAGTGTTTATTAGAATAAAACAGAAAAAAGCAACAAACTGTACTGAGAGCAACCATTGACAATATCTTTCGCTTAGTGAATTACAAAAGAATTCATAGCTTTGGTTGGATAAATTGACCATATTTTGGCTGCTTGAAAAGAGAATGAATATGAAATTGCAATGTGAAAGTTTTCCAAAAAAGCACCACAGAGAACATAGGCATGATATTTGCTCAATGAAATTCCCATACGCAATCTGAAATCTTCCAAAATAAAGAAAAAATTTGTGTTCAACAGTGTAAGGTCCCATAAATCTGTTTGCCTCAACAATACCGAAGTAATAGCCTCAATAATCTACGATAATGTAGTGCATATTCCCTGTGGCAATATTAACGCAAAAGGATTACGACCCTTAAATTCACACCATGCTCGCTGACATTATCGGTTAGATCGGATTATTACAATTTTTTGCATAACTATGTGAAGTGTTTATAAAAGCTCTACCCTTTTTCCAACTTTCATCACCGAATTGCTGCGATCCTAAAATTGAATTTAAAAAAAGAAGCAATAGAAAAAACGTTCTGTAGAAGCTTGCGCTTTCATTCGCGCATTTTGTTTTGTTGATCTCCGAGCTATCTTCTGTGGATCGCAAGCGCCAGCGCTTCAGCGAGTTAGGTGAGCTGTTCTAGCAGCTAGGATTCGTTTATATCATTAGGTACCTGCTGTTGAAACAACCAAGGGGCGTGGCTTTGTGTATATCTCTAATGGCTGAGTACCTAACGCTCGCACCTCGGCTGGGTACCTAACGCCCGCCCCCCCGTCGTGCGCTCTGCGGCTAAAAAAGCCGCGTTTGCGCACGACGATATTGCGCCTTCGTCATGCAGCAGCCTATACAAGTCATTGCAAATGCAAATTGGTGCGTACCCTCTCGGCATTCCGTCACCGCTCCATCTTGTAAACGAATTTTTGAAGCGTTAATTGTAACATGACCGAGCATGGCGGAGCTGGGTTGAATGCATGTAAGAATAGGACATAATGAGTAAAGCGTGCATTCGTTGCACAGCGACGGAGATGTCTAAGGGAATAGGTTCGACCTGCGCTTACAAAGTAAGGGCTTCAATAGCATCTTTTACTCGCTGTCAATTACAAAGAAAGGATACCCTATTTTCAGGTGTATAAGCCGCACCCTTTTCGCTTTAAAGGCGAACACGCCAAAAGACTGACTGTCACCATGGAGCGCGTTAAAGGCAGTAGGTCGGCAGAATGAGACCCGTGACAAAACATAGTCACAGGGTAGGAGCCCCCAATGGAACCTATGGGCCAAAGTTCGATCTTTCTCTGCCACTTCTAACCCCCGAAATTTCAAAGCGAAAGCAGCGCTCATCTCCTGTCCTCTCCGAACCCGCCCACCCCATGGACGAGTGAAAACGCGAAGCCCGTCATGGCGAAGACGCAGAGTCGTTGCGGACCTCATGCTTATAGCATTGCGGCTGGCGCTCTGACCGCGGAAGTCACTCGTCCGTGGGAGGGCGGGTTCGGAGAGGACAGGAGATGAGCGCTGCTTTCGCTTTGAAGTTTCGGGGGTTAGAAGTGGCAGAGAAAGATCGAACTTTGGCCCATAGGTTACATTATGGGGCTCCTACCCTGTGACCTTGTTTTGCCATGGGTCTCATTCTGCCGACACACTGCCTTTAAGTGAGAGCTCGTCAATGTGTTAAACAGCCACGCCAGTAATGTTGGCATTTTGCGCGCGCAACTGGGCGGCGTCACGGGCATAGTTATTTGTACAAGCGCGAATTTTACCACATTTTACCTGCAATGCAAGCAATCCATATTAAGCAAATAATCTCTCGACTGTACCTTGCTTCGGACTATAGACGATATTTGCCTGAGCCTTAAAAGATACATCCCTGTCGAAGGGTTATGGATAACCGCAGCATAATAATTGTAACAAAGAAATAGATAGAAACGAGAACATTTTAAACACGAGATCAACATTATGCTTTAATTATATATCTAACTTCCAGTGGAGGTCCTATTCTTCGGGGAGGGAGGGGAGGGGAGCGAGGAGTGAGGTGGCACTGTTCGAATAGACGGGAGTAATGTCCGTCAGCCAGCCTTACAGAAAAAATTTTTAAATTTCCAAAATCTGACCGGCCTGCCTGTAACCTCAAAATATCAGAAAAGGGGGAAAATTTTTGAAGTTTTATTTTTTGAAAATTCAAAAAAAAATTTTCGAGAGAAAACAAGCTACTTCTGCTTTTTGTGAGTCATCTGATCTTTCAAAAATGTGACTATTCTGGAAAGGGGCGGGAGGGCTTGGTTCGCCGTTGCTGCATGTGGCTTGTGCTTCCAGCTTCATTGTGAATCTGGCGTGTTCCGATCTGCTGTTATGCGTAGTCACGGCTCCGGTGACCTTGTACACAAGTGCTAATTTGTTCTGGCCATTCGGAAATATCGCATGCAAAGTGGTGCGTTTCTAATGAGACCAGATCAGCTTTCGTGCAGTTAAAACAAGGGCTATTTTGCAGTTGGCATCCGTGCAAGCCGTAAACACATTTGTTTCGTCTCTGACGCTAGCTCTCATTGCTATGGATCGAGTCTTGCTAACAACCTGTCCAGTGAGATGGTGATTCTTCTTTTTTTAGACAGGTGAATTTGTCCTATAAAGTATGTTGATAGGCGCTTAGCAGCAACGGCTCCAATCATCTGTTACTGCGTAGTTTGGATAATATCCATTGTCGTAGCGCTTCCCTATTCGCTCACTGTCAGATCCAGCAAGATTGACACTTTCGAACCCTGGAACGACGTGCACATTCCTGCTATGGTGAGCCTAAAAAATCCAAGACACAGCGCAACTACGGTATAAGCGCTAATAAAACGGAACTTTCAAGCTAAGCATATGCGACCGATCCCATCCTGAGGTCTGCGTGGAGATGCAAGACACTTGGGATCGCGCTTATATCTCCAAGACGACATTCACGGTGATTGTGCTAGCCATTCAGGTAACTCACTCTACACAATGTAAGTCTCGTTATGTGAGAAGTCATATTACAGTATCTTCTTCCATTGTTTGCCCTCGCATACGCTTACGTTCAAATTGGCTCTACGATTCGACGTCGTTCCAAAATCAGCCGTACCATTGATCAGGCCCGGCGCATCAGCATGCAAAGCCGAAACAGGTAAAAGCAAATTTCTTTGAAATGATTGTGTGACTGAAAGCGCTCTTGATGCTTATGCAAGCTCGACGCACTAAGTCTGGTTTGGATTGCCCCGTGCCAGCGCCGTTCCAGCGCCGTGACACTAGTGTGTGAGAGCTGTGCCGGCGAGATCGATTTCGGCAAGTTCACAAGTGGTGGCACGGCGCTGGCACGGCGCCAACACGGGCAACTCTGGACCTCATTTATCCTCTGAGATCAGCATGCAATACAGCGGTGTTCAGGCGTGCTCTTCTGCTTCTTATGATTCTCGTGTTGACGTACGCAATATGTTGGGCACCAATGAATATCCACAACGTACTGAACGGTTTTGATGTGATCTCATATTCACAGTACAGGTCTGTTGTTTCATCGAAGAAAATTTCACTATGGAAGGAAAACGACTGGTATCTGTGATCAGACATTGCAAGAAACGAATTTTCTCGTACTTGTATCCAGAGCTCGGCACGAGGTGGCTAGATGAAAATGCGAAAAACGAAGTCCCCTTTGACTTTTGGGTATTTTTACGAAGTCCCCTTTGACCCCCCACCATTTCCCTAAAAATCCTCCAAAAAACGAAACGTCGACTAAAAAAAAACGTCGCCAATTCGCCAATTTTGCGTGTGTCTTCGGTCACAAAAACGAAACCCCTTTTGCTTTTCATCCCAAAAACGATACCCAGCTTGCTTGTAAGCCACCTCGTGCCGAGCCCTGCTTGTATCTAGCGTTTAGTCGGATTCTCTTACACAGAATACTTCTGAGAATTCGAATTTCGCGTGTAGGTACGGCACTAGAGTACTATAGCTTGGCTTTGAAAAAATTCGTATCGCTTGCACAGTGGCGTACCGGGGGGGAGCGGGCCGAGAACGGTTGCGAAATTTTTAAAAGTTACTTACATGAGTTATAAAAACGCGCAAGTGACTTGTTTTTACTTGTAAGTAATCAAAATATTTTTTAAAATTTTTTAAAAATTCATTTTAGTCTTATAAATAAATTTTTTTTCGGGGGCGTGGCTAGCGCCACGCCTCCTTTTTCTGAAATTTTGGGGTTCTGAGCCCACAAAAATTTTAGGGAGCACACCAAGAAAATTTTCGGAGTGCATGGCTGACGCCATGCACCTTCATCGGAAAATTTTTTTGTCGCCGCCCCCCCCCCGAGCCGAAATCCTGGGTGCGCCACTGCGCTTGCAGGATAACTGTTCACAATTTTTAGTGTTGGTATTAAATTCTCAAAAAATTACAGATACCTCTTCTGCCACCTTGTCGGCATATCATCGGCATGCGTCAACCCCATCACGTACGCACTGGTGAACGAGTCCTTTCGCAATGCACTGCATCATATGTTTCTTTCATTCCGACCATGCTACGTCACATCAGGCGACTCCGCCACTTCCTATATCAGTAATAGTAAGCCGACAAAGGTTACGGTAAGTCGGTAACTTTCTGAATATGGTAGCTTCCTCTTTCATTCAGATCCGCGATCCATATTCTACAAAGTGCGATTCGCCTACAAAGGCTGAGGAGTTGGAGGTGTTGGGAAATTCGATGCTGTAAAAGCATTGCGAAAATTGATAAATCCTGCAGCGACGTTTTTTCCTCAAAAAATTTTGGACGGATGGTTCACTTCATAGCTGAGCGGTATCTGAATTCATAACCTGCCGATTTTGCGACATCGAAGCATCTGTATCTGTCTTCATAGTCAAGTTCGCATACCTACATATGGTCTGTGAAAATCAGAAGTTACCACTTGAAGGCAGTTGGCTCGCCAAATCCTCAAATTTTGAATGTTTGCTTCCCTAGGTTTATCTAGTTATGCCGAACTCAGAGCTGTCCCCACTTTCAGCCCTTCATTCTACATTAGCCACGCAGCTCCCACCTGAGCCGCAAATCGTTGCGAAATCCTTTGGTTCTAGCAGTGGCGGTCCCAGGATATCGGACCGGGGGGGGGGGGGGGGGAGGGGGCAAGAAATTCTTTCAAATGTTTTTGGGGTGCTTCTCAAAACTTTTGCGGCTCTATAAGCCCTAAAATCTGGAAAAAGGAGGCGCGACGTCAGCCACGCCCCCGAAAAATGTTTTTTATAAGGCTAATTCGAATTTTTAAAAAATTTTAAAAATTATTTCAATTGTTTACAAGAACAAAGTCACTTGCACATTTTTATAACTCACGTCCCCCCGTTCCCTCCTCCCCCTCTCGGTCCGCCACGGGGTTCTAGCACTGCGGCATGCGCACTGTGATGCTCGGCCTGACTGTCCGCAGGTGGATTTTGCGGAAAGCAGAGGTAGTAGATTAACCAGGTTCAGGCCTCCTGCTGGCTGCTTCATAAGCCCAAAGGTCCGGCACTCGAGTCACTGCTTTCAGAAGCAATATCCGCATTTACAACTTTCATTCAACACATTTTAATCAATAGCAAATTCATCCCATGATTGACGAATCTGATTTTTTGACCTACTGAATTGCACTCAGATTTAGTCACATTTGAGATCATGTTGTCCAAAAAAGTTCACTTAGAAAGAACAACTCTTAGGTGACCATGAAAATTATACACTTTTTAAAATTGTGAATGTGTTGTAATGCTCTTGTTTGCGTGGTACAAAGCAGAAATCCTATCATTTCGACTGGGAGTTTGTTTTGAATATCCAGAGGATCAAGTAAAATACGTAGATTTTCACACTGCCTTTGTGCATTCCGATAAATTATACCGGTGACGGTCGCTTTTCTGTAAATACGCACCAATGTTGAATATTACGTGTTCTGTCAATAAATATTTATGCTTGCTCAGGATCTTGTGTGGAACTTGGAAAGATAAGGTCACTTCAGATACTTTGAACATCATCACTATACGGCCTCCCAAACAAAAATGAGCTAGACAAGAGTTTCTTGGTCATCAAATGGATGAGCTGACGTTTGACGCGTTCTTCGCCGTTATAAAACTTGCACCTCATGCGCTCTGCTGCTAATCAAGCCGCGTTCGCTCCCAAATGTATACTGCGCTTTCGTCATGCAGTAGCCTATACTTGTATACGGAGTCTCTGCTCCTCAGCTCGTTGCAAAAAAAACACCCCTTCTCAACTCGAAATTTGCAGTGAAATGGTTAGTATGTATATATGTATGCCAATTCCGTTTAAATACATATACATATTCTTATAAATATGTATCCGATCCCAGCAGATGTTTGAGACCATTTTTGCAGATGAGAGATGTGGTACGGCTCAGACGAATCTTTCGCAATTCTTTCTAGGACGAAAATGCGGTATATCGAGAGACATAAAGTTACTTATGTTATGGTGTTCTGCCTTATAGATGTTACTGCTACCACCGCTCTTCGGGCTCGGCACAGATGGCTCATAAGCAAGCTGGATATCGTGTTTGGGACAAAAAGCAAAGGGGATATCATGGTGTTGTTAGCGGTGTTAGCATAATTGAAGACTGTGGAGGTACGAGCATGGCGAATGGAGCAGTAAACTGACTTCAAAATTACAAGGCGCACTTTTTTCTCTGAATTCGGCCAAACACACCAGAGAAGTCCGCGATCCAGGAACCTTCACCCCCCTGCGCCAAACCTAAGGAATGTGCAGGGAGTGATGGCCCGACATTACGTGACGGCCCCACAAAGTTTCCATTTTTCCCTGTCCCTCGCTTCAGACATCCGCGATCTCCCTGGATGACGTCGGTGGCTGCGTCTACAAATTCTGCGAAAATCGTATCTAGCTGACTTCTCAACTGAACCATGTTCCACGAACACGTCTGTTCATCTCGTTGGAGGTCTTCCTCGGTGACGTTTTGCTTGCGGGGAATCCACTTCGGTATTCTTAATGTCCATCTGTCGTCTGTTCTACTCATGATGTGACCGGCCGTAATTCCCTTTTACAGCGTATTCCGCTGGGCCACAAAGACGGGTTATTCCTCTCATATCCGCATATCCAAGTCCAACAAATTGTTGTTAGTGTCGGGTCATCTTCAGAATACTGCACTCAAGCGCTCTAGGGTGGTCCGTAGATCTTTCGACGTAGCCCCAGTGTCGGCCCAAGTCTGAGCTGCATAAACAGGCGGGGAGAACCGTTGAGTCGAAGAGTTGAGCACGAAGCTCCGGGTCCTTCAGTTGGTCGGTGGCTTCCTCCACAAGCCCGAAAGCGGTCCAGGCTGCTGTTTTCATCTTGATAAGTTGTTCCTTCAAGCCTTTCTCCATGTTAAGAAAACGTCTCTATAATAGGGGTGCCTTCTAATTCCATTTCTGCATCTTCGGAAATTGTGCTCTTCATGCAATAAGTCTTCTTCCGCTTTATTCACAATCCAATCTTCTTCCCTACTTCGTTTACTTCCTGCAGCATCGTCTCTGCTTCAGTGATACTGCTCGAAAAGAGAACGATGTCGTCCGCAAAACGAAGGTTTGACAGGAATCTCCCGTCAAGTCGTATGCCTCTCTCGTCCCAGTCTAGTGATTTCATCACCCATTGGCAAGGCCTCGGTGAACAGCTACGCCAAAATTTTGTCGCCTCTCGGACCCCCTTCCCAATTGGGATGGCCAGGGGGCGATGGAACAGCTGCATCGTCGATGTATAGTCCTTCTAAAAGTCGTTCAACGTCCTCACGTGAGCTGGGTCCACTCCTTGATCGACTAGCGCTGACAGGATGGCGTTGGTTCCGACACTGTCGAAGTCTTTCTCGTAGTCGGCGAAGGTTAGGACGAGAGGCAGTCGGTACTTCAGGCAGACTTCTATGACCTCAAAACCGTTTGGATGTGGTCCATGCAGCTGAATCCTTTGCGAAATCCAGCTTGTTCTTGGGGTTGGGCTTCATCCAATGTCCTAAATATGCGAGCAAGGATAATCTTCGTGAAAAGCTTGTAAGCACACTTAGCAGGCATATTGGACGGTAGTTCCGAAGATCCTCTCGTTCGCCCTTCTTGAAGAAAAGGAAGGTTTTTGACCTTCTCCACTGGTCGGAAATCCTTTCCTTCTGAAGTTAAGAAGTCATGTGCGACGGGAGAATCTCGTGTAGACGTTGTTCTCCGGCTCGCAGATATTCGACGGAAAAATGGTCTGGTCCTGGAGCCGTGGATGTCTTCATGGTCTGAATCGCCGTGCGCACTTCAGCAGGTAGAATTGTGGTGGTACTGATGGATGGAGAGGTTGGTGTAGAAGTTCTCATAATTTCCACCTTATATCGGGAAGAAGTTGGAGTTCCGTCTTCGTTCAATAGTGGAGTCAGCGGAACGTGATATTCACAGAGGTTCCTTCGGCACTTCTTAAAGGCAGCGCCTAGGCAAGTGTGGACACATGGGGATCTCACGTGGATAGTAATTTTGGGGCCCTGACTAGGCCACTGGCCAACCGGCAGATCAGGTAGTGCTCTAAAGGCTGAGATATTCCCCTCGAAATTGGACCCCGTGATCGTATTCCGCATGGATTTATGGCGCAAAGCGTGGATCCTAGCGCGAAACTGCCAAATCCACGCGAATACGATCGCGGGGTCCAGTTTCAAGGGGAATATCTCAGCCGTTAGAGCACTAACTGCGCTGCCGCTTGGACAGTGCCTTAGTTAGGGCCCCAAAAGTACTTTCAACGTAAAATCCCCATAGGTCCAAATCTGCCTGGACGCTGCCTTTAAGAGTTCGTCTTCCTTTGGCTGCTTCCGGTATCTTGGCTTGCCTGTACTTCCTGAGATCCTCCTGCAAAGCTGTTCTGCAACTGGCGCTGGCTATCAGTCGCTCGAGTTGGGTTGCATTCAAATCTTCTTGGAAATCACTGAGGCGCACTTTCCGCAGGCTCGCATTTCTTTCAAAAGCCGGTCGTAGTCGCACGTTGGGTCTTCCTCGATTGGCCAGTCACAACTTGATATGAGCTCTTCCAGCCTGTTACCGTCATAAACAACTTTCTTCCTTCTTGCGCCAATGTGACAGACCTTTTTTTATCAGCTTTCTGACTGAATCGTATCTTCGCTCGAGCAAACTCCGCCTTCGGTTGATGAGAATGTGGTTGATCTCCGCGGAAGTCGTTCCATTGGGCGAATGCCGTGTCCACCTACGGTGATCTCTCTACATGAAGAATTCCCATGGAGAAGTCGTGCGGCGGGGAAAAGGCCAACGAGGCGGTTTCCGTTCTCGTTCTAGAGCCCATCCAAACCTCAATCCTTCTTAGTGGCATGCCGATTTTTGCATTGGCGTCGCCCATAAAATTTGTAAAAGAACTTCTCATTGCGGACGACCTTCTCCACATCTTCGTAAAAAGCATCTAGTTCTGATTCGTCAGCTGGATGTTGGAGAATAGCAGTAGATGATACTGATGGTCTTCTGACGTGGAGGTCGTAGTCCTAGGATGGCTAGTCGAGGTGATAGGATCTCATGCGAATCGATAAGATGGACGATAGATGCGTGGACGACAAAGCCAACGCCTCCAACATTTGTGATGGAACTTCTCACCATGAATGATGAGCGTCCCATCACTCATCTGTCGCACGTCCTTCTTCCTGGACTTCGTTTTCTGCAGAGCGATGATATGGTACTTAAGAGCATGGACGTTTGTGGAGACTGAATGGCGTTGCAGGTGCACAGCATGAAGCAGTCTCCGTGGCGTGGCATCCGGGCAGACGTGTCGTTTTTGTTCGATCCAAAGGCGCTCTGAGGACTCTGACATCGTTCCTGCTACCATCCGGCGCTGTAGGCGGGGTTCAATGCAGGGTTTCTTTCTATTCTTCTAACTGGGGAGTAAAGACAAATTTTGTCCTACAAGAGCAGGATCACTAGGCCTATTCTTGCTGTCCGCGGGGCAATCGCTAATCCCCGGAATCGCCTAGCGATCAAAAAAGACGGCGCGGAATCTGGGCCTGTAGTAAACCCCCCGGACGTCGTGACGTATAGCTCGGAGTATGCTGTGACATGTGCTGACTATCATGGAGCGAGGCTGGCAAAGCGGCTATCCTTTATCATTGCAGGCGGATGCAATCGATGCGTAGCATCAGGGTAGTCGCACTTTGTCGCGATATGTCGCGACATATCGCGACATATAGCGACATATTGCGACATGTCGTGACGGACAAGACGGCGAAATACTTTGTCCATCATAGAGACGCAGAGACATAGCGCAAGACTAGAGCTCGACTACGCCAACCTCGCAATAGGTCGCACATGCACACAGTTCTCTATAACGCACGTCAACCGCAATCAATATCAACAGCTGATAAGCGCCTAACTGTTCGAGCAATGCGCCTCTCCCTATTCTCCAAGTACTTCTGCTGCTGCCGCTTTGGTATTTGAAAAAAGGTGAGTTTATTTTAACTAAAAAGTATGTTAGACTCATACTTAGCCATATTTTTCGTACTTATGCAATTTTTCTTCTTTATTTTTGCTATGCGCCTTGTTTGAGCAAAAAGTCCCTTCTTTGTGCCAAACTTTCGCAAATTTTTGATCTTTTCATCGTTCTTGGCAGTTTCGACCACATATCTTTGCTGGTTGCTGTTCGTTAGCCATGCACCCCTCGTTTCCTTTCGTTTTTATAAGAAAGGACCGTCTGGCGTTATGGCTAATGGAATAGCCCATTTTTGAACGGACTGAATGCTGATGATAATATTTTGATTTTTCTTGTACACTTTCAATATGTATTCTACTTTAAATTCCATTTTCTTTCAAAAAGAAAATTCTAATTTACGTTCCTTTGCAAAATTCAGTTTGCCAGCAAAAAAAGATAGTGTCGCCTGGAACTTGTACCCCCAACGTCTAGCATACCGGCCTCTCACACTGGCACTGCGCTAACTACAAACTATGTTGAGTTGTTGAGCTGTTTCACAATAATTGCATAAGTAGTAGCTAACCCTTCAACAATACTTACGGATAAGGCATGCATATCGTTTTCCCATACTGATTTGCTGCAACCGCTCTATTTGCTACATGTATCCTCTCCCTAGCAAAGCACGGCGTAGTAGCATACAGCGCAGCGAATGTGCGCGCTGCTAGACCATCTGTGTCTTGGCACGGAGCTGGCACGAACCTGGCACGGGCTGACACGCTCAATTTTTATTGAGGGCAACAGTCAAATATGGTCCTGCCATAGCGGATAATGGCGCTTCTTACAGCATGGTGTACAAAGATAAGCATAATTCTGCAACAGACATAGATCAACTGCGTTTTCCTATCAATATTGATGAACATGAGATAATGAGTCAAAACATGGAGAAAGAGGCGCGCACACGCGAGGATAGTTAGTTATTGAAATCCTTTGATTGATTTACCTGCTCTGGCAAGCATAGTATACTACATTCTTGCCTTCCTAAGCAAATACCCCACGGCATATCTGTACTCATAGCGCAGCGCGTGTGACCGCTGTTATCGCGGTCATCAGCGGTTCAATGGCGCGCGGAGGCGCTCGTTGCGGCGCCCTGCGGATAGCTCGCTATAGTCTTGCGAGATACTCCGAGCTATCACGACACAGTCCCTCTATGTTGTGACAACCACGAGGGGTTTACTACGGGCCCTGGCCCCTCCGCTCTTAGCTGGACATCCGGCTGAAACCGGAAATGTCGAACTCCTTCTCAACTTGGAAGGACCCTACCAGAGTATACATACATTTAACAGTACATTGCAGTTCGACACCCAAGGCCACTCTCACGCCACGATGAGGCAACGGACCATAGCGTAGATTTATAGAGCTATTTACTTCCCATAAAATACCTACACTTGAAGGCACTTGGTCGAAGAGCATTTGGGAAGGTGATGTGTAACGACAGATAGAGCTCTAGATGCTGATTTCATATATTTTCTATATCTGGGAAGCGTCTATGAAACTTTGAGATTTTCTTTGCTCAATGTACGTGCATCGTAAATTGCTTGATAATGGTAATCACAAATAAAAAGCAGACTAAAGCTAATCGCTCAATAGACACATACGTCTAGTCTAATATCGCATGAGCATTTCCTAGTAATTATCAACCATGCTGGTGTCAACGAGTCGTCATTTTCTTTCTAGGCCACTCTTCCATTTTATGAAGATTCCTGAACCTTCTTCAGAGAAACACTTCGCAAATATAAAAAGTAATTTGGAGTTCAGATTGAACTGTATTTACCGGTACGCATGTCAACTGGCGTGCTTTATGCCTTACGCTGGTGTGGGCTCTAGCACAGGTTCCATACGCTTCTGTTCCTCGTTGCATCATCCAAGTTTTTATTTTCGGTCTGGATGACTTTCCTATGGAGAATAGGAGAATTATGACGACCTTCTCAGTAGGGTTACTGTATTTTGGCTTATCGAAACATGAGCGATGACTTCAGCCATTATCAGCATTGGGCTGTCCATTGAGCAAGGTCTCACAGTCACTTCTTGAGCCAAAAGACCATTGATTTGGCGAGATGATTGGACATTTTTTGGCCTCAGTGGTGTCTTTACGCCTGACCAAACAGTACTTGATCTACTTCTCTATTCGCTCTTTTGTGAGTGGGTCGCGACTCGCGAACTTTCGAAAGCAGACATCATGAAATAGCGCAAGCAAATTACTCCACTGTCAGGTAAAATGTAACTGAAACGTTTCTTTCAGAAACTGAGAACTCAATTGCATTTTACTTGTAAATGAAATCACAACAGGCTTTTGCGCATTGAGGGAAGTTAAAAACAGTTTATTGCCAGCAAAGACACCCTTACTATATTATAAGTCATGTATAAAGCACAGACACTACGCTCCATTTACCATATAATCTGGATAGCACCCCAATTCACGGACAATGTCGTCGATGCAGCACCCTGTGCCACAATTGCTCACACAACAATTCGTACAACAAGTGCTCGCACAACAATTCTGGTTAGACTTGCAATAATCCTTGTTGAATACCTCACAACTATCACTTCCGCCTCCTGGTGTTGTTGCACGATCCACTTCTATGCAACCCTCTTCTCTTCCTGTTTTGCAATCCTCTTGCATGCAATTATCGCATTCACCTGCGGGCGTGGTACTGACTCCGTGTTGATGAGAACAATTCTGGTTGGACTTGCAGTAATCCTTGTTGAATACCTCACAACTATCACTTCCGCCCCCTGGTGTTGTTGCACGATCCACTTCTTTGCAACCCTTTTCTATTCCTATTTTGCAATCTTGCATGCAATTATCGCATTCACCTGCGGGTGTGGTACTGACTCCGTGTTGATGAGTTTTTGTAATTTTAGCGCAGCATGGTTCTGTTCCCTTTTCACAGATACACTGACGCTCCTTCGTAGTTTTATGTTCTCCACCTCCTGGTGTTGAGCTTTCATCACCTTCGCATTCACATTCTCCATCTTCGTCACAGAAACAATCGTCGTATTCACAATCTTCATCTGTTCCTGTGGTACGTTCTCCACCTCCTGGTGTTGAGTTTTTATCACCTTCGCATTCACATTCTCCATCTTCGTCACAGAAACAATCGTCGTCTTCACAATCTTCATCTGTTCCTGTGGTACGTTCTCCACCTCCTGGTGTTGAGTTTTTATCACCTTCGCATTCACATTCTCCATCTTCGTCACAGAAACAATCGTCTTCGCAATCTTCACCTGTTCCTGTGCACTCATCGCAGGTTTCTTCCGTGCAGTCAGTGCAGGTTCCTTCGCATTCAGGGCAGGTCTCTTCTGTGCATCCAGTGCATGTTTCTTCTGTGCATTCAGCGCAAGGTGTACTTTTGTCTTTACCGCCTTCGTTTGACCTTTTCACGCGAACTGCTGTCTCGCATCCATTCTTTCCTGCGGACTTTTTGCATAATATACCAGAACTTCTATTGTAGCAAAGATTTAATTCCCACTGCCCATATTTTCCGCTTAGGTCGCTTATCATCTGAAAAATTGCGTATCAGCACGTTCAGGCAAGAGAAAAAATATTCGTGCCAACAAGTTGTAAGACAAAAGTGCTTTGTACTTTTGCTAGCGTTCAAGAAATTCGCGGTGATAGGAACTTGTGCGACCGTAGTTCTCAGATCGCAAGATGAAGATTTTCTAGAATTTTCGACTTGATTCCGAAGATGTTTAAAAATAGCTCAAAGCTCTGGAATCATTTTTAGTCTGAGACCTCCGCATACGCTTATTGGAAGCATCCCATTTTGAACTGACGGGAAAAGTACTGCTATCAACGTGAGCATTTTAAATTATATCGTGTGATGATTTTTATCGCATTTTTTGATTTCGTTTTTTCTGCATATATTGTGCTATAATTGATAAAGGGGTATGCGGAAAAGCGAAATCCCAAATTTCGTGCCTTTCAAAACTCCTCGGTGCTAAAGTGACACGGCGCCAAGGTGGGGATGGGGGGGGGGGGTTCAGGGGTATATACATGACTTGATGCCGCAAGCAAAATTCCGTAAAAATTAGCAAGAGCGATTTTACACTGCTTGTATTTTGAGCGCATTGTCGCCTTCGCGTGCCCCCCCCCCCCATTGATAAAATATGAATATGCGTCAGAAAGTTTTCAGTCTCCTCTACTCAATTTCCTACCTTGTTGTCCAGTCAGAGATAACTTTTCGGCTTTAAATCGCAAAATCCAAAGAAGCGAAAAATCTATTTACAACATCTTTCTTTTTTCCATTTCCTCTCATTTTCCCTCGACGAAATTTACTTAAAAAACGTGACAATAATTCAAATAGTATTATCACTTACTAGCTGGCTTACCCGGCTCCGCCCGCCCGGCCCTGTCAAAACACTATGATAAAGTTTCCATCCCTATCCCTGTACAACTTTCCCCTGTGCCCAATTCTACCTGCTGCCAATTGCCTATTCCCTCTGTGTTAGTAATCAGCATGCTCCATACCCCCTGTGCCCGCTCCCAGCCCGCAGCTCAAACTTTGCTAAAAAATCGATAAAAGTAATAAACGGTTTTAAGAACTAATATTATATTCGTGATCAGCGTGCTCGATTACCCCCCCCCCCCCCTGTGCCAACTCTCAGTTCAGTAGGTAAACTCTGCAAAAAAAACGATAAAAATGATAAAATCGATATTGATCGATGACGAAAAGTGGCCTATGACACCCGCTCGGCCCCGAAGTGTATGTGTGCGAAGTTTGGTGCGGATCGGTTGAAAGGGAATTTTCTATTTGGAACATACGTACGCACAGACAGGCAGATAAACATGCAGACAAACAGACATTCAGCTTTATATATAAGATACAAGTAATGTTTATGCATAATTTATGCTTACTCCTTTCCTTTCAGAGAGTGTTCAACGAAATTTTTTGAAATCAACGGAACAGGCTTTTCGACACGGCGCTCGTCACCCGCATACTTATATCGTGTGTCTCTTGAACTTCATATTTGTGAATAAGTTCCAGTAAATTCGATGATTTTGTGCATGCAAACATCCTTTTTGCCAGTCTTCGGAGTATTTTACCGCTCTCTCTCAGAACTTTTTCCAGATGCCTAACGTTGATGTTCTTGAGACTTTTGAGCAGTTTGCGGAAACTGTGGCAGTCTTTCCATTCCGTTCGCAATTTTTTCAGCTGTTTTCCAAGTAGGCAGATCTATTTGGAGCTGCTGTAATACGAGGAACGGTCAGGAGTCACGGTCGGCGCGAATTTTTCGCGAAGCGGTGCCGCAAGCGATGTCAGCAAAACAGAAGCTAGCACTCCTGGCGCAGTTTTACTTATGGCACGAGCTATGTATCTGCCCCCCCCCCCACCCCTCTAGACTGGCGCCGTGCCACTTTAGCTCCGGGCAGTTTTATGGGGTACAAAATTTAGGCGCGACCTGAGCGGCAAAGCGGCGCGGCGCGCGGCGTGACTCCTGACATGGAGCCTGTGATACAGTTGTCAAACATTGTTTTTTGCATGTTTGGATTTTGTTTTAGAGCCAAAAATTTTTCTGTGTAGCCTTCATTTAGGAAAACGAAAGGGAAATTTGCTAGAGGAGACTAAGAGCTCCGAACCTACAAAAAGAAACTCAAAAAAGGGGCCGGAACTCGCACTACACAATAGATGTAACAGACATAATACCTGTATATTGCCAAGATACGAATCGAATGTCAACCTCAAATCTGGCATCCGTATCTGCGAAGTGCAGTCACAAACCAATTAAAAAAAATGCTAGTTTGTGAAAAAATTCAAACTTTCGACCCTCTGGCAATTAGGCCACATAAACATTGAGCCACTTAAGGGCAGTGTCTCACGGGTAGTCGTGTCTCCACATATTACGTTGGAGGACACCCTGAACAGGCGATCGACCAAGTCAGTCGATTCTACGCCAAGAAATTTGCCCTCAAAATAGTCAGCATAGCATGATTTGGCCCGTACGGCCGACGCTTCCGGTTTCTCGCTTACACCATGTCCTTCCACTTAGCGTCCACCTCCATGATGTTGCTGCCGCTATGGTGGAGGCTAAGCTGAGTAGGCACAGTTCCGTGTTGCTTCGACAGAACTTTCAGAAAACGGGGTTTTCGTGCATTTTATGCGATTTTGGATTCGCATCGAGTTAGACAGGGACGAAAAGGCTTGCAATATGCAAGAATCTCGACAAGCAAATCTTGGTGAGACACTCCTTTAAAATCACCGTCCACCCAAATCCTCGATTTTGAGTTTTTGTTCTTTTTTAGCAACTCTTGCGCATGCTGAGTTCGAATCCAGGCCTAAAATTGAATGAAAGCCCCAAATTACCACGTTTTGGATGCCCTTAAAAAATCCGCAGAGGCAAGCACTATTTGCGCCTACCATCAGCCGCGGGTTAGCTGTGCGCTCATAGCAGGGCAGAGACGCAGAGGAACGCTGTGTCTGGTCGATTTCTTGATCTTTGCGCGTCTAGGCGAAATCACTGAGTGGGAGGGACGAACCGTACCGCCCACCTAAAAGGGAGGAGCCAACTGGCGAATTCGTCTTCCGAAGGATTTTCGAAGAGTTGTTCTCGCCTTGGAAGACAAGACGACTTCAGACAGCGCGAGTTGGGCAGTTATACCGTTGAGGGCTCCGCTACTGTTAGACATCGGAATCTCATAGACCCCATTTTGGGTGAGCGGTGTCTTTAAACGCCGTAGCCCTTGTTGCAGTGCGTACACAAATGGTCGAAATTGTGCCCTATTTTCAGGTGTATAAGCCGCACTCTTTTCGCTCTAAAGGCGCCAAAAGACTGACTGTCATCATGGAGCGCTTTAAGTGAAAGCAGTATGCGATAAGGCGACCGCTTCGCGAGACATAAGCGCGGCGGCATGTCTGGGTCTGCTCGCGTTTAGAGCAAAAAGGGTGCGGCTTATACACCCGAAAATAGGGTAGTTGGTTCTCAAAGGAAAATGCGCTTTGCGGTAAAGTACATGATAAGCAACCATCACTGATTTTAGCAACATATTAGGTCGTTTCATAAGTCCGCAGCGTTTTTATTCTTGTCGTCGCTTTTTATTGAAGCGGTTGAGTTACGGCAGAGACCTGTGCTATTCAAAGCAACCGTCTGCGCATGACTCGTTCCTTTCTCGGAAGCAATCCTGATGATCTTTGTTTTACAACACTTCAAAGCATAGTTTGTCGAGTGGCAAAATTCCGCGATTTTGACACCTGCATCTTCGGCTCCATATGCGGAAATCACCAGTGGTAGTATTTCATCCGGAATCGTTATGAGTGAGGAAAAATAAGTGTTCAAGGGACATTGATGCGTATAAAAACATACTTTTTGGCGAAGGACGCAAAGGAAGAAGAGCGCACTTTTACATTATGTGGACGTTTTTTTCTTAAGAGTGAGAGAGTCCCCTACGCCAGAACCTTACTTCCACAACGCTTAGAGCAGGAGCGGAAACATTTCTTTGCAAAAAACTCAAACGGCATCAGTCGAAAACAGTTACTAAAGACATCGTTAAATAGTTCTTAGCATACTATTGACAGTATTGTCAACATATCAGCCTTGCTTGGTACTATTTTCTCCGACTATTCATGCAAAGAAAATCTTGTTCGATACGGATGTAAATGAGGAAAGTGCAGGTGTCACTATCGCCGATATTTGTTTGCTATTCAATAAAACCTTTGCTTTGGGAAGTTTTGAAGGAAACGTAATCAGATCTGCTTCGAAAATAAGGAGCGGGTCAGAGCAGGGTTGGCTTTTTCGAATGGTATAGGTTTTCTGGTTTTTCGTAAAACTACCGCTTCATCAAAAACGACGACAAAAATGGAAATGTCGAAGTCTTGCAGAGAAGTCCGCCATCAGATACGTCCGCCTACAGATTAGTCCGCCATCAGATAAGTTCGCCTACAGATTAGTCCGCCTACAGATTAGTCCGCCTACAGATAAGTCCGCCTACAGATTAGTCCGCCTACAGATAAGTCCGCCATCAGATAAGTCCGCTTCTTTTCTCAGATGAAAAACAGAAAGATTTTTCTATCGTTTTTTTTAGCAAAAGCGTTCTTTTCGGTAATGTGAATTATAAAACAAAATTTGAGATTTCGTGATTCGAGAATGATGCTCCTCTTCTCCTCTTCCCTTATCTGTAGGCGGACTTATCTGTAGGCAGACTTACGTGATGGCAGACTTATCTGTAGGCGGACTTATCTGATGGCGGACTTTCTGCAAGACTTTTGGCGGCTCGAGGGTAATTTTTCATCGACTTTTCGTGTCAAAAAGGTGGATTTATCTGTAAGACTTTAGGGTAATACATCTTGTTCGTTTGACTGCGATTAGAAGTGCTCTTCCTGTGAGTTTTTTATGTTTATTAACTACTAGCTGGTTTTCCGGTCTCGCCCGGTTCGCGGCTTCGGAGCCGGTTCGGCACGGTATCTTTCCTCATCATGAAGCATGAGGAGAAGAGCGTGTCGTCCTCGTCAACTCCAACTTTCTCGCCTCCTCCAATGTGCTTGCTCCAGCCCCCCTCCTTCCCCCCCC